GGAACAATGCCTCTTCTGGTCGACTGCCAAATTCCACGAATTTGGGAAAGAGTACAAAGGAAAAGTCGCCGAAAATGGACGTTCCGGATTTACGAGCAAGGCATTCGGCTCGTTTCTGCGTAGGCCAGCAACATTACCGTTATTTCAAAACGACTACGCCCGGATGAACCGTGGAATTTCTGGCTCCACGAAGGCGGTACGAAGATTTACTTCACTTTAACCGATCTTTTCGATGAGCTCGCGTCGTAGAGAAGAATTTCTCGAGCTCGACGTAGTCGAAGAACGTGAGCCATTCGAACGTGACCGCATCGCGTCACTCGTTTAAAGGTCTATCATAAGGTCACCACCTTTCCGAGATCCGTAGAATTTTTTGCGAAAACGTCTCGGAAAATGCGGGACAGGTGGTTGCCCTCGGTTCATGGACTCTGAGGATTCCGCCATCGGCAGGCAGAGGCGACGCAGGTCGTGTTAACTACAGCACTTCTCTTGATATTCATGAGCAACTATGCAAATTCAAAATTTTCCATGAAAAAAAGCCGAGCCCTTTCCCCGAGAACGCTATCAGCAACAACCAAATCAGAATATAAACCGGTTGAGAACCCGTCTTCATTTGCATGATGCACATACAAGGCGCGTTTTGAAAGCAGTGTTGCGAAGTAACCAAGAACTTTTCAAGCGTTATTGCAATGTTGCCTTTAAATCAAGCAAATAGTACCGGTTACTTACAATTTTACGGCCAGGAACAAAAACCTGCACCGAATACAGACTATCGAATAATACGCCTTACCACATCGTAGCTTTTCCGCAGTGATAAAGGAACAAAACCATAATTCGCTTTAAATTCGAATGAGTAACGCTTATTGGGCTTCAAAGTCAACGCATAAAAGTTCCTTTCTGCACACTGAAGATTTTTGCAGGATCGAGGGGGGGGGGGGGGCTTCATGATTGCAAACCGTGATGCAAAGCAACTCCAAAGCAGTTGTTATAAGGGGGCTTGCAGTTATATGCGACTGACCGTAACTAGTAATGCTTTCTCAGAGAAGTAGTTTTTACATGGAATTAGTCGCAATTTTCGGCAAGTAACTGGCAATGGCACGTTAAAGTAACTCTCCCAACGCTGTCGGCAATTGAGATTCATCGCCGAAATTACTTTTCTCCAGCGATTCCCAATTGTGCACACTTTCTCGATTTTCCCCGATGGTTGAAACAGATTATAACCAGTCCCTTATCGCGCCCTCGATCTATCCTCATCCCCATCCTATCCTCATCTTCATCCCTCCTCATCCCCAAGGGCCCATTTGCGCCCAACCCGCACGGTTGCTCGAAATGAAACCCCAGGAGCGAAAAAAGGATCCTGCTTGCGCGGAAGCGAACACGAGACTGCGGCGGTGGACGACGATGTTGGGGAGTCGGGGAGTCGGGCTTCGTCGCGTGACGACGGACCGAGGAAACCTGCGGGGTCGCGTCTCTAAAAAAAAAGGGAGACCGTCGTGGTTGCGTTTGCTTCCCAACGTTATCGTCACGGCAAGGACAGGCGGTCTTCGTAAAGGCGACGACTCCGGGAAGTCGCGCGAACCTGTGCATCTCAACATGGACGAATGCAAGATTTTCCAAGGGTTTATGTATCGATTGTGATAGTTTGCATTTATACGACCAAGGACTTGTGCCGGAGCGGATTCATGAACCATCTGAACCATGAACCATGGTGACATGCACCACATCGGTTTAGGAGCCAAACTCATCTGATTCCAGGCAAATATATTTAAGAATGAGTTGAACTCATCGTTAAACTGATTCGTGACATGCACCAAATGCGATCAGTTTATTACTCTCTTAAACTGATCTTCAAAGATCTTCCATAGCATATTTCACTCCCTAATGGAACCTCAGAGGCAGTTCAGCATGCCGTTTTGCCGGAGAGGACCTCATTTTTCTCGCCTCTCATCATCTAGCGACGGTGGAAATGGAAACTATCGATGAACAATAAGTTTTTGACGTGATCCAGAACCAAACTGTCAGGAGATCTATCAGAGATCGGCTCGATCCTCATCGATGCTTCGATGGAGACGAATTCCGAAGAAAGTTTCGTCTTTCAAACCGTCGCCGACTCGGTGCGGACGACGAAGCAGCAGCTGGCACTAAACCCATCGTTCTCTTTAAACGTGTTTAAGCCGTGGATGAACGTGTTCGTGGAAACTAATCTGATTTTGGCGGTGCGTGTCAATGACGAACACATTCTTAAACGTGTGTTAGTAAACGTATTCATCTCGCCTTAAACTGAATCGATTCCTCGATTGGTGCATGTCACCCTATATCCCAGCATTTTCTCCCAGGCACAGAATTGTCAAATCGAATATTCTTACAACTGTCTTTTAAGATGTCTCTTTCACGTCCTTGCGATTTCTCGTGCGTCCTGATGGACAATCGTGAACATCACCGACATGAAAATCTTAGCGTGCGCAAATTGGCACTTCGCCTTGTATCCGGTGCGTAATTTCGAGGAAACCGTAATTCATAGCATGTATACTACTCGTGAATGTGGGGTCCACTCAAGATTCATCTTTTTTGGGGGAGTGCAATGTGTTATTAAAATCTGGATTTTCAGACTCATGCGAAAAGCTGTTCCAGTTTCTTTCCGAATCAGGGGCATACCGATTGTCAAAGTGGGGACCCAATGTGGCAGCTGAATGAGAGAAGAGGAGAGGAGGGGAGGGGAAGGGGAGGAGGAAGAGGAAGGGGGGGAGGGGGAGGGGAAGGTGGAGGGGAAGGGGGAGGGGGTGATGGGCGAGGAAAGGGCCAGAGTGAGGGGGGGGAAGGGCTCTGCCACGAGAGGCTGACAATGCCGTGGGTGTTAGAGGGATTTTTTTTGTTGGCATGTCACCAAGGAGGGTGAAAAGCCTCGGGTATAATCGAGGAGCACTCCATGAAGTGGGCAGCAAAGCTCTTCTCAAGAACCGCTTACTAAGTGCGACACTTCTCACTTCAGCCTACTCTCTTGGTAAAACTGTGGACCGGGAGTACACGAGTCGATTTTTATTAAAATGGAGCTCATATTGCGTATTTCTGAGACGCAATATGAGGCGAATACCAACATCAATATTGTTGCTACGATGAAGAGCGTGATTACCTTCGTCACCGAATGCACATGTCTATCCTCTCTTATTCTATGCATAAAGAGCTCCCAGGTTTAAAGTGGAAATAAATGTCTTGGGGCACGTGATTTCGCACTGATTTCCACGGCAGCCTGGAAATGTGGGAATTACGGGACGGTCACATACATAGATCTCTTGTCGAAGATGACGTCAGTAAAGTGTCCGTCATCACGCTCGACACATTCGCGCGCACGGTCCAGGCACGACACGCCGCAAAATCGCGAGTCACTTCTTCCCGCATGCGAGTTTCCAAAGCCTTCAAGGTTGTAAGGCGTGAGTCGTACACCTTACTCTTTAGATACTCCTACAGAAATCTGGAGCTGTTTGGGGCCGGAGACCGCGATGGCTAATGAAGGTCTCCATATCTGGTGTCACGTGCCCAGGAAACGTCCTGCCGACATCCATGCTCATGTAGGATGTGTGGGCAGCCGCCCATCCTGCTAGAACCACATTGCAGGAGGAAGCCACGTCAACGCAGCTCCACGTCCAAGAACGACTGTAGCAATTGGACGAAGCGGGCAGCGTTGACGGTGATCGTGTCGTCATCGTCGTCTTCGAAACGGTACGGACTGACCATTCCATACACACATACTCCACAGCGTTCAATTTCTCGCTGTTTAACGGCCGCTCATGGATTTTCTGCTGCCCAAGATCGGCAGTATTGCTTGTTCGCCATGGAGACACGTGTTAGTCTTGTGAGAGGGGGCATCACGCCGTTCAGGCTTGAATGCTCGCTGGGTTCCCACAAGCTGATTCTGATGAAGAGCTCCATGGCCTTCACACGCTCCTTCGACAACCAACTCGCAGTTGCTGAATAACCTCCAGGATGATGTAATTAATTAAGGAGAGCGCGTGTAATGGAAATGAGTCGCCGGCCGCCTTAACAGGAAAAGCAAACCTGGGAGGTATTTATATATAAGCAAAAATGAAAACATACTTGCGTGGAGTCAATTCAAATTTGAGCTGTATATTGATTTCCTGTACAACCAGAGGCAGGCACGGGTATTACATTGAAGTTGAAATTAAATTTTAAAAAGGGTTTCAATTAATCTTGAAATTATTGTCTCGATAAATGACCGTAGAAAATAAACCTTTATGGATGTATTCAAAGGTCCCGATTTTCCTCATTTTTATTCTAGTCAATATCATCGTGTACGAAAGACTGCGGATGTGGTGAAAAGGTTGAAAACCGGGGCTCGACGGTTTCGTCTGAATCCACTCGGCGATGCAGACTGGATGCAAACGTCATCCGTCTGTCGCCGACCGACGGATTCCAGATGGCGGGAAGCTGGAGCGCAGAATCCCCGCGCTGTCAACCCGGAAGAGTTGGACGAGAATTTCAAAACGTCTACGGAACTCGTCGGCCTCGTATTTAGGCCTTACGCGGCGCACTCGGTATGTCTGTCGCTCGACCCGGGCGATTTCGACGAGAGCGTCCGCGAAACGGCCGGAATCTGGACGACGTCGCGACAGATACTTCCATCTACGCGGACGTAGAGGGAAATTGCCATAAACACGAGATGTTTCTTCTTTAACCACCAACAAATCTTCATCTAAGTGCGGCTTCCGTGGCAGCCTTACCCCTCGGAACCCGTCAGGGGCGGAATTTCCCGATCCATTTCAAGACACGAGCCAGAGCCGAAACGAGAATCTCAAGAGGAAACGAGCCGAAAGGCGGATTCCTTCCTTCATCTCGTGCCGGTCTCGTCGCTCCTACTCGTTCGACTAGTTCCTTTGCTTATCGCTTGGAGCATGCGAAAGCCCCGATCGCGTTGGGAAAATTTGACCCGTCGCGAGATGTGGGATTCGAGACTCGGATCTCATTCCCGGAAAGAAAACGAAAAGACATCTTCGGGTTATTCAGCTCAAAAAGTTGTTATTCAATCGTGACACAATCAGTTGGTACATAAAAGGATTGAGGAATGGCACTCTCTCTGCTGAAGATGCCGGATGAGTAAAAACATACAGGGAAACCAAACGACTCTTGCTACAACTTGGCCCCAACGTCTCCGTGACTATGGATTGCTTTCGGTCAAAAACACCAAAGACACCAAATGATGAAAAGTTGCTTTTTTTTTCTGTAGAGAAACCTCAGCCACACCGGATAAGCAATGAAAGAGCGAGGCGTACTTGGACCAAAAGGGCGCATTAAATGCAATTTGCTTCCTCGTTATTGCAGGCACTCAAGGCATCGGTTCACGATCGGGAATATAACGATAAAACTATACGCAGTCTGAACACAGTTATTTTTTCATAAATAACAGATCTAGCACCAATCTTGCGACGGGGTGGAAGAGGGGATCATTTCCCACTAGAAGTCCTGGAAGTCCCAGACGATAATGGCACCGCCATGGGGATCGTGATGATCCCTTGACTCGATCCGCCCGACCCTGATCGGAAAGAAATTCGGTCAGTCTTTCTCCTCCGGACGCGATTCTACGCGTTCGACCCCCGTTTCACCTTGGAAAGGCAGAAAGATATGCTCGAAGGACGAAGAAGCAGCCGAGAGGGTGGGTGGGGTATTGAAGAGCATCATGGGCGGCTGGGCCGAGGCGATGGGAAGCAACCCGGGCAAACCCCCCGGCGCCGAGGAAGTCGTCGGGGACGACGACGAGGACGATGACGACGGGTGGCTCGTGATGGTCACGCTGCACCCCGATGGGCTTGCGTTCTCTCCTGCCGCATCTTTTTTGCTGGCCTTCTCCGTCCCGATGCCACCTGGAAAGTAGGGCAAGGGGTGGAGTTGCACGATGGCTTCGTGAGGGATTGCGAATGCTAGCGCATAGGATACGGTTTCGGTTTCTACGACGGCTTCTCACTCGATAAATCCTTTGCTCCATTGACGATACGCATCTCGGATCCTTCATCACCTGAAACATGAGAACAAACGGATTTAACACTTTCAACCCAGGTGATTCCAAGGTTATCCTCGTCACATGACGAGTACAGGGCTCAAAGTATTTACAGCCTCGGCCACGCGCACGTCGCGGAACTCGCTGGCATAACAGAAGACGGTATAACATAAGAGGACGCAGTATCATCGGAGATCCCTAAAGTGTTTGAGAATGACTTCCTTCGCTTTTTCCCCCCGGTTTTCATAGCAGGATACTGTCCACAAACAAATATTTGAGCTGTCGTGCACGACTTCCACGCGGCATCGTCAGCCTCCTTCGCTTTCTTTCCATCAGGCGACAGCTCATACAATTTTTTGCGTTTAAAACTCTGAATAGAATTTCAAATAGCCTGGGGCAGTTCTTAGAAACTTCTCTGACTCTTTTCTGACTTTCTGACTCCTATTTCCGGGACTCTCCCAATTACTACAGAAGGTGGGTGGGCGTGATGATACCTGTGCCGGTGTGGGGCGGGAGGACGACGAGTCCCTTGGGAGTGGCGGCAATCCTGAGCGGCGTGGTCGTGTTCGTGGTCGTGGGCGGGGGATTCAGATTACTGGTCCAGGAATGAGTCATCCCTCGTTGGTCCCTTTCCCTTTCGGGCGGTGGCGAGTCCTCGGACCCGCTCCCATTCGCGGGACTCCCGCTCCGTGACTCCCCGTCGCCGTACTCCTCCCCATCGCCGTCCTCTTCTTCCTCGTCCTGCCGTGACAAAATGGGGGAAGTGGCCTGTGACTTTTTTGTTCATTGTGGTCACATCCCGGTGATTCGTGCGTGAATTGTCGGTAAAATGGAGAGAATCAGTGAATAAATAGCACGCTATACAAGGTACAAGGCAATAGAAGTGTATACTCATTGCGATTATGCAAGACCCGTTGAGCTTCAAAGAAGCATTAAGCTCTGAACGGCTCGGGAAGCGAGGAGAGGAAAGCAGATGGAAGGATTGCAGATAGATAAATCTGGAATAAGGGAGGGAGGATGGTGGAGGGATTTGGCAAGGAAAATTTTTCTCCGAGGAGAGCAAAGCTGCACAGGTTCCAAATAGGAGGAGACAAGGAAGTGGTTGAAAAGTAGCCTAGCTTCTATTTCGGGACTCAGGTGAGATGGCGTCAGGAAATCCTGCCAAAAACGGCACCCTGGCCCTCCTCCCCCTCTCTCTTCTATTCCTTTTATTTTTCTCTTCGCTGGTCACCTATATCCCTATTTTACAACTCTTCACGAGATCATCAGTAAAGAGAGATCAGAGGCGTGATGCATATGAGGCATCGCATGTCGAGTCACGTTCCGTGACGCAGGCATGGGCGTGATAGAATGCTTGGGGAAGAAGACGGCAAGGGATTTATTTCTTGGTATCCCCTCCAACCCCATGCCTGGAAGGAAAAACGTGGGCGTGCACCAAGGCGAAGAGGAGGAAAAAAAGAAATAGGTAGGATATTCATCAGGCACGCGGATTATCGCTCTCCATGCACCATTAGCCATACGGAATTTCCAAAGCATGCTGGCGTGGCATCAAACGAAATCGGTCCAGAAATTTCTCATGTGCCTGGCTAAAGAAATTACATCAAGTTCTCCGTTCCCCAACATCAGCATCACCATCGAACTTGCTACCCATCGAGGCCCCCTGGCATCGAATGGACGGAGAGATCTGGGTCACACCGCGAATAAAGAGACAAGAGCAGACGATATTCCGCACATACCGACCCACATATAAAGAAAACTCAACTTCCCCTTGCATTTAACTACTTTTCCTCCCACGAATGATAAGGGCACTAGTGAGGAGGATGCCAATGACTACCGATCGAACGAAAAAAATTCCCCAGAAATCGATAAAAATCTTCTCAAAATCCGGAGAAGGAGCACCAGGTGTTCGAAACAGACGAGTCGATGGGCCCGACCTTCGAGTCTGCAGTGACGATTAGATTTACAAATCTCTGTCATCCCCCCCCCCCCCCCCCCCCCCCCCCCCACACCCCCCCCNCCGCCCCCCCCCCCCCCCCCCCCCCCCCAAGGCTAGAAACAGAAGACGTAAAGGGAAGAAAAAACGTTTCGGGGCCAGGTCCGGTCGGATGCTGGAAGGGCTTCGATGTTATCGCACCTCGTTGATAAAAGACTAGAGGTCGGTGGGGAGAGAGAAAGAGAGAGAGAAACCAGCTCTGAGGTCTCGTGAATTATACATATGGAAGCCTAAAAATGGTGAGGGGGCAGGAGTGACGTCACGAGTGTGCTCTGACTGTGGGCGGAGACAACTAGCCAATGGGGAAGCACTTCACTATATTTGGAAAGAAAACTTCTATCAAGAGAATTGGATCCCCTCCTCAATCCTCATTCCCTCCCTGTTTCTTCTCTCTGTGCCTGTTGCGAGCAGATACGAGTTTTACGCGATATCCACCTCTTCGTGGGTGTTCCACCTGTGCGTCAATTCGTCAGAAAAACCCAGGAAATCAGCGCGAAGATATAGAAATCTTCACAGCCGGCTGGGAACGTCCAAAACTGAGTGTCCGTGAAGAAAAACCCGTGAAAACTCAACAAATCGAGCCTACAGGCAAGAAAACTCTCAGACTGCAAACTTCCGAAACCGAGTGTCCGTGCAGAAAAACCCAGCAGAGGGCCATGAAGGACTTTTTTTATTTTTTACTTGATGGCGTGTGTGACGTTCCACCGTTTGTCATTCAGTAAAAATACTTGAGTGTTTGTGTTCTGTCACTGGCAGCATTCCCAGTTTCTCCAACGTGGATGGTTCCCGTGAGCCAAGATTTTTGTTGGAAAAATCCTAGCATCGTGCATGGATTTTTCGGGGAATCGATGGGAAACGTCCTCATGAGAAAATGGGATGCTGTCTGTACCATGAATGATGGATTTGCCTTCGATTTCGAAAGCGGATTCAGCATTTCATAGTTTCATTTTATGGACTTGGTTCAAGGATAACGTCTGTCGGGCAGACGAGATACGAGAAAGTTATACAGAATCCTCCAGGGCGAAGAAAAAAACAACATAAGATCGGAAGATCTCATGGTTTTTTTTCCCCCCCAACTGGAAGAATATCAATCCATACAAAGTTCGCCCTAAATGATGGAGGATGACAACGAGAACTTTTCTCCACTCGAATCAATATCATATATTCCAAACCCATCTCGCCGGTTTCGTCTTCCTTGCGGCTTGCCCCTCAGCGTATTTCCAAAGTCATGCTCAAGTCAGATGTTTCAAACGAGGCAATTAAAGCGGACAGGTGCAAACAGACATCTGTCTCCTCGTTGTCCTCCTCTCTCTCTATTCTCTCATTCTGGGGGGAATACAAATCTATTCTTTCCACACAACTCTATCGGAGGAAAGACGTTGGAACCATTTGATCGTCAACGATGAAAACCAAATGCAGTGAGTAATTGAGCCACAAGAAAACTGCCTGATGGAAAGAGAAAGAATCCAATTTATGAGACTTTATTCAGATGGCGGCGATATAAATTAGGGTGGGGCGAAGATAGGAATCCCACTTCACAATAGACAAGGACGACGAGAAAGGAATTCCCTGCGATGCCACGAATGAGTGTGGGGGCGGAAGAGATGATTTATGGTCAGCATCTCTCAAAGTCCGAATCTCCATGAGACCTCACCCCTACAGAGCACACCTGTCTCATCACATGAGTCACCTTTACCCTCATCTGATTCAGAAAGTAGGCCGGTAAGTGTCATACTTTCCTCGGAGAGTGAAGCACCGATCCCACCAGTTTCATCGATGGAATTTTTTTAAATAAGACCTACGGATAATCCACAAGTCGAGTGCAGAGAAATCTTTCTGAGGTTATCTTGAAATTTTCACGTGCTTCCATTTATAAATATTTTCCCCCATTTGTATACATTCTCTCTTAAAAGTAATAGAAATAAAGTGTCGTGTTGAGAAGTGAAGATGAAATTCAATTCCACGACTAGCGGCAATATTAGCTCGTCACCAGCTTGATATCCACGTAGATTTGCCAGGAACACGTAGGTTTAAATTTGAATTCCGCAGTTTGCAGTTACTTGGACAATTTGAAGTTCGAAGTGCCAAACGCAAGTGACAGAAATATGAGCTATAGATGTGTACACATGAAGATCAAGCGGTGTGCTGCAGATCTTTCAAGGATAAGTATCGCTTGTTTCACGCTCAATTCCATCACAATAACAGGAAATTTATACATGAATTACACCATTTTTCTTCCTCAACGGAAAGGAGGCAATTATGTGGAGGTTCGATTGGCAACTTCTTCAATAACAATTTTTCGACGCTATTGCTACAGAGTACGACCTGTGAGTTTATGACCTAGCTGCACAGTGGATATCATGAGTATCAATTAGACAGCATTGATTCCCGTTCCAAGAAGTCATGTGATTTTATTCGAGCAAAATAGAGTCTAAAGACCGAGACCTTCCAGAAAAAGGTACCGCAAAACTACCAATACAAATGTGTAATTTATTTTCATAAAATATAACTTTCTCCCGCAGCCGCCGTATACATTGCCATCTCCATAATGTTTCGCCAAACAGACCGAAAAGAATCAGCACGATGTTTTTCCATCTAAACCAAATTTATTGTTCTGAATTTTTTAAGCATTCTCTCGCATGCCAGCAGGGAAATCGAAGTTCGCGCCCCATTTCGTGTATTGGACAAATGAGTCCACCTAACAGTTTGGAGGAATCTCTTCTGTGAAGTGTCCATGAATTCCTTGTGATGAGAACCCCATCAGCCACTCCCATTTACGAAAGAACGAAAGAACTTTGTCGTGACTTCGCTAGATTGAGTTGAGGTCCTTCTCTACGAATATTATTGCTCCATCCCGATCTCATACATCATGTGTGCTGTGATGGCCTTGTGGCCTAAGTCCCAATAAATCTTTTTTTTTTTGTTCGAAAGACGCTGTTCGCTTGTTTTCCACGTCAAGCCCAGCGTTAGACCAGATCATTCTTCGGGAGAATTCCACAGTTGCCCTGATCTAGATTTCATTGCAACTCCAATGCAAGGAAGTCCGAGGCAGTCAAGGAGTAAGGAAACGTCCTCCAATAACAAACATCAAGGAGACAAATTACCCTACCTCCAACAATGCCAGGGGAAATGAATTTGCACCCAACAAAAACAACAAGCCAATCTCTATAAATCTGAAACCATGAGAACAGAGCCGTGAGGCTAATGAAATCCCATTCGGAAGAGAAAGGGCGGTATCAGGTGTAGAGATGAAGATGACGGGAGAAGTAAAGAAGAAGGAAAAAAAACCCTTAAGGTATGAGTCATAAGTCACAACCCCCGTGGAGTTAACCCATGTCCCTGGCTAACTAAACGACAACTCCAAGAGACCCCCCACCAGTCCATAGATGATAGAGGTCTTCCATACATGATAGAGGACATATTCCACCGGATATCGATTTAATCACGAGTTATACAAGTAGCAATGTACAATTCCTCCCTCTTCGGAAACCGTAAACTGAAAGGAGAAGCTCGTCTCTGTGGTAATCAGAGAGGCGTGAGTCGTGACTGACCCCGGCGCGTGGCGTGCCGACTACTTAATCACGAAACGCGTTTCGTATCTGCACGCAAGATAAATGCCTCTCCGTTGAGCCGAACAACCTCGTCCCAGACATGAACGAAAAAGTTCCTTCAAGAAAAGCTCGACAATAGGCCAGTAAAAGTGTGAAAGCCAGGGGCAGGAAGTGAAGGGGTGGGGCGAAGAGTATTG